GGCCTTTGCCCGGGAGCCCGTGGCCGTGCAGGGACTTTCCTTCCGCACTGCCGTTGTTGCCTGGATACTGCTTTTAGTGTTGTTTTGTTGGGTTGGGTTTTGTTTTGTTTTGGTTTCTTTGTGTTTTGTTTTTTTTTTTTTTTTTTAAACGCGTTGTCTTATTAATTTCTGTACACTTGGCCAAAGCTCTCTCACAAATGATCTGTTAAGCCATTCGTGTTTGTACTGTTTCCCTCTCGTCCCCTTCTAAATGTTGCTCATGCTCCTCTGCCAGCTGATTTTGGCTTTTTCGTGAGCTGCGCATACTTCCCGTTTCAAAATTAAATGGTTGCTTGAAATGGGTTCTGGAAACGTAACTGAAATGCCGTTTGTTCTCAGGCTGCCCTACAGCGCACAGATGTCATTCTGGAAGTAGGCCCGGGAACCGGTAACCTGACAGTAAAGATGTTGGAGAAAGTAAAAAAAGTAAGTGTGAATCACCCCTCCCCACCTTCCCAAGCCATGTTGTGCCTTAGACTATGGCAAACAAAAGGATCTTAATCTGCTTGATTCAAATAAGTACTCTATGGATGTTTTTCTTAAACATTTACATAATTTCAATGAGTTTTTAGCTGTTCATGTAACTCTTGCATGGTTTTATCAAGCTATAGTGATGTTACCTATTTATGTGGTAAGTCTTGCATGTTTTTGGTGAGGGAGAAGGTTGCAAAGCCTAATAGGGAATTTTTGAGAATTACTTAAACCTGTAGCAATAGATACAGAGTTTTTTTACAATGGAAATTTTAATCCCAGTTAGCAGGAGTTGTATGAAGTTGCAAATATATACTTTGTTTTCAGGTTATTGCTTGTGAAATTGACCCTAGACTTGTTGGTGAACTTCAGAAGAGAGTCCAGGGCACGTAAGTATCAACTGTGGAAGCGAGCACTTAAAACAGTGGAGCTGGTTTGGCAAAAACATTGGCAACATGCTTCTCTGAGGATAACCACAGTGTATTTTCCCCCAGGTGTTTGGCAAACAAACTTGAAATCAAGGTTGGAGATATCTTGAAAACAGACTTACCATTCTTTGATGCATGTGTGGCTAACTTGCCTTACCAGGTATGGGCTAAACAACATGGCAAAACTTTATTCTTTTTAAATGGTAACTCTTCAGAAATTATACTAACACTATTACTCTTTTCCTCAGATTTCTTCACCTTTTGTGTTCAAGTTGTTGCTTCATAGACCTTTTTTCAGGTATGTGGAAGAGCAGGGCTCTATGCTACCTGATAGAAAAAAAAAATTAGTTTTAAAAATATTCCTAAATCAATTTTTTCTTGTTTGTAAAGTATCAGTTTGATGAATCAGAGCCACACCGAAATTTTTCTGTAAGATGAAACCTGCCATTGCCTGGAAATTAGCTTATGTCAGTGTATTAAGCTCAAGGAGAAAATTTTGTCTTGGTATCAGTGAGTCCAGCTGATCAAAACAGTGTTGCACTTCTTAATGCTAGTATTATAACTAATTGTTATTCCAGGGATAAGCAGGGCATCGTAGCTTTTCAAGTGCCTTCCCACCTGAGAAAGGAAGGGTGGAAAGGGTAGGATCAAGGCCAAGAGATTTCCTGTTGTCTGGTCTGAAAACGTAACTGCCTGGGTACTTCTGTGTGTTGTTCAACGTGTCAGTAGTTCTTGATTTCTCTCACTGAAGCGCTAATGTTAGTGATACTACTGGTCAATTTTTGGAGCCAGAGCGTTGAAGGACTTATAGAATTATTCAAAATGATTTGTTACATTCAGGTACAAAACTCAAGAGTTGAGCAGTATAAAGAATTACATTTTATTGTAGCTTTAAGGAGATTTAGGCGGTTTCACCAAGTTTTGTGGGTTTGGGTTGTTTTTTTTTTAACACACCGTTACCTAATTAAGGCGGAGTTTGTTTATGACAAACTTATTGCTTCTAAGCGCTGAGGCAAGTTCTGTGTTTTCCAAGTGTGTTGGTTGGCTTTTGATGTAAAAGTTGATTACTCAGAATTAATTTCCTTCTTTCTGCTATTCTCAGGTGTGCAATACTTATGTTTCAAAGGGAATTTGCACTTCGTTTGGTTGCAAAACCAGGAACTAAACTATACTGCAGACTCTCTGTTAATACTCAGTTATTAGCTCGAGTGGACCATCTGATGAAGGTACGTCATCCTGCATTAACTAACAGAGCTATCAAAAATAGAAGAATGTTTTTAGGAATGTGAGTATTTGCTGCTTATTTATACAGCTGCCTGACTTCTCCTGACCAACAGGTTGGAAAGAACAACTTCAGGCCTCCGCCCAAAGTTGAATCCAGTGTTGTCAGAATAGAGCCAAAGAACCCACCACCACCTATCAACTTCCAGGTAAGCATCATACAATATACTCTAATAGCAGCGTAACATACTAGTGATAATTCCATTTTTATTTTCACTTATTACTCACTTCCGTGTGCTGTTTTCACTACTAAGTACCAACTATTCATTGGCATTTACATAATTCCAAAATACTTATTCCTCTATTGATCAGGCTTGCGTTAGGACACTACCTGAACGTGCCATCATCAATTTGGGTGCAGCTTTGTTTACAGTATTTCTGAGAAGACTGAGGACCATTCTCCATGTCAGTTGCAGAGATGCTAGTAATCATGTCCCTTTAATCATGCTTTATATCTCCCAGAGACCCTTATGGCTGATGACTTTGTTGGTTATGATCAAAGAGTGTCTATGAGAAGTCGTATCTTCAGATGAGTGTGTGTAATCTCAGCAGAGAGATGTTACAGGATAGTGTTCTTAAAGCAAATTTTTAAAACGCTTTGATCTTCAAGAACATATCAGCCTTGCCCAAGGTTAGCCAGATTTTCTTTAAGTATCTGCCTTCCCAGCACATAAGATCTGGGCAATAGTGGCTATGCACAAAAAAGAACAATTCAAAGGTTTTTTTGGTTGAAGTATTTTCTCATCCTTTTGGATTGCTTTGTCCAAGACAGGACTGGTTTTTATTGTTTTATTGTCAATAGTGACTGTTCTTGTTTAGTAGTACCCGTATGTTCCTTTCTGTAAATTCTGAAATTTTTAATTTCAGGAGTGGGATGGTCTAGTAAGGATAGCCTTTGTTAGGAAAAACAAGACACTCTCTGCAGCATTTAAGTAAGTAACTTCTATTAACAGAAATCTTCTCAAAGTTTGAGAGCCCATCCACTTAGCCATTTCTTTTGTCCAAATCAAGTTAAAAAAAACCAACAGTTAAAGCTCAATTTTCATTCTAAACTTGTATTTCTTTCAGGTCAAGTGCTGTAGAGCAGTTGCTGGACCATAATTACCGAATTCATTGTTCCTTACATAACACAGTAAGTTCCCTTTTAATATATTCTATTTCTGCCTACTGTGACCTACATACTGGCTTTTATAAGATTAAAAAATTAACATTGGAAAGCTTAACATGTTAAATTTTTTCCAAGACAGTTTGAAGGAGGAAGGAGCTTACCTCTTTTCTTAGAGAAAAATCTAAAAGGGTCACTAAATTACAGTGAAAAAGCTGAGTATGTTATTAATAAATTGACTGTACCTGTTAAGGACTTCTACTGATCTAATAAGAATACTTTCTGTGTGATTACTTATAGTGAATGAGTTGAGCTCTAGAAATTCTAATACAAGAACAGAAGAATACGATAATCCATATAAGAAGAAATACAACTTATTTCTATTACTTAAAACAAGAACTATTCTAAATGCAGGAAAAAATAGGTTATTTCAATTAACATTTTTCTATGCTATGAATAGAAAATGAATTTGTATGCTGTTCTCCTTTGACAGGAAATACCTGAAAGCTTCAAAATTTCAGAGAAAATACAGACAGTCCTAAAAAATACAGGTTACTCTGAAAAACGAGCTCGTTCAATGGATATAGATGATTTCATTAGGTACTTTTTTTTCTCTTTATGCCTTCCTTTTAAGGTTGTTCAAATTCTATCTACATCTCTACCTGTGTAGCACAGATTAGTATTGGGTTACACAGGAATAGTACTAACTCTGTTTTCCTCTCAATACCAGACACTCCTTGCTTCCAGTCCTGAACATGAACAGTTTAACCCTATACAGATTTTACCTGCTGCTTACAGTACTGAAAAGCAGCTAGCTAAAGATCTCTCTCTGGTATTTGTGTACTAGACCCTTTCTATGACTCCTCTAAAAATGGCTTTAATAATGGAATTGGTTCTTAAAATTTCCCTGGAGACTTAGACGGCCCTTCTCTGTCTTGAGGATTAGGCCATAGTCTATAGCATAACTTGGAAATTTGAGTAATTAACTGCTGTATTCTGCTCTTACCTCTGGTCAGTTAATTTAAGTGGCAACATAAATCTTGTCCTAATTTAAGATAAAAATTCCTAGCTGTTTCTCAGTGTGACAATACAGCTTCTACTCTATAAAAACACAGTAAACCTAGTAGAATACAATATAACTTAACTGCAATGAAAATATACCTGCATCCCTAAAATGGGAGATTTGCTAATAAATTCTGTGTTAAGATTTATAACAATTCTTTTTCGTATGTTCTTTGCCAGCCAGCACATCTTAAAAATGCCTTAAGCCAAAGTACAAATTAGTAGAAATTGTAACAAAAATATTTCCCTCTTTCAGACTGCTGCATGGCTTCAATTCAGAAGGCATCCATTTCTCATAGATTCTACTAGAAGAATGAAAGATGTTCTGTATTTTGTCACCGAAGTCTTACCTAAGCCAGAGTGAGTGCAACGGGACAAGCTCTACTCACAAAAGCAGCGAACAAAATACAGCGTACACACTCTGGTTCTTATTACAACCTTATATGCAATGTTATTACAGATAGTAGACAAGAAGTTGCTACTCTGTATTTTAAAAGCAATAAATTATTTCACAACTGGTGTGAGAGGCTGGACTTCCACAGACAGTGTATTTTTAAATATACCAAGTAACATGGATTAATGCTGCCATAATTGAAATATATTCTCTGATCATAGACTTCACCTCAGTATATTCTTGCACAATATTCAACAGTAAAACCCGTAAGCCTGTTCTGGGCAACAAAATCAGTTGTCATTCCATTTGTTTGTGATTTTGTTTGTTCTAAAGTGTATTTAAACACTTTCTTTTGATTTGAAATACCTGGCTCTTCCATTGGTCCTCTGGTAGCTACCTGCATTATAAGTCTGTTAGTAATCTGCTTCTCTTGGAGAAATCCTAGTAACTGTTTCTCAGAAACAACAGCATTTATCTTACGGGCTTGGTATAATTTACAAAAGCATTATCAAGGTACCTGAAACTACCACTGTCATCCCCTTTACTCCCTCCTTATTGCTGTTATAAACCACTGAGGAACCAGCAGAAGACTACCAAAGGGCCAGTGTTGATAAGCATAGACAGAAGGGGTTTTTTTATCTACTGTAAATTCAATCAGCTGTTTTTACAAGAAAATTACTTCACACTTCAAAGCCGGGAGGAGTTTTAGCATGGATCAAAACTTTAACTGATCACTGAGTCTTAGAGCAATGCACACCTGTGTCCTGTTGGAAAGCCTTACTGAAGTGCCTTAATACAGTTTGTATTACATGTATATGTTATTAACAACAAGGCAGAGTTTTCCTGAGGAAGTTTGCATTAACTCTGCATAGCAGCTGTGAAAAGAAAAATCTAGTTTGGTCTGTCTTATGATTCAGGAAAACAGTAACTATTAACTCAGCATCATGCAGGGGTGAAGCCATGACTCCTTACTAACTACCCAACTCATTTTTTCATGTATAGTGTCTCTCCGTAAGACCACAGTAAGTAGAGAAGCTAATTAGCAAAAACTCCTCCAAGATACAACTTCATTTTACACACATTCAGTGTCAGTTCTTTCAAAGTCATTGATTTTGAAGCAGGTACAGAAACATGCACTTGAATTTGCAGGCATCCTCAAGGGTTGTCTTGGAAAACTGAATTGCTCGTTTATTTTATAATTCAATTATTCTAGTGCTGCTTCACTGCAAATAGAACTAGTTTATGAGTGAGGTAAGTAGCCACAGCCGTATGCTCAGACTAATACGGACAAGTACTGGAGATTTGTGTCATCCTTCCTAAATGCTTTCATTCTACAGGACAGGAATCAAGATAAACTTCTCCAAGTCCTGTTCAAGTAATTCCAGTCCACCACAGCAATGGGCTACAAAAATTCAAGTGCAGTAACCAGCCATATCAGTTTTATCTTGATTCTCACTGCTTCAGTATTGGTGTAGATCTGACCTTTATAGCAGGCTCTGGTCACAGACTGTCTCTTAACAGTTCCCCCAGAGTAGACACAATTTCCGCTTGCATCTGCTACCTGACATGACACGTGTAATTTACAACACTTCTGCTACAAAGCTGCTGAAATCTAACTGCATCTGTCCTTCCTGTCCTCCTTGGTACCTATTGTAAACCACAGCCTGGTTGTGGCTCTGGGCTTCCATGGAGGGATAGTAGGGGAGCCACTGTTTTTTCTGTAGGTTGTCTCAATCTTCAGAGGCTTTTTAGAAAGTAAAATTTCTCTACAACAGCTTCAAAGAAACCCTCTGGGTACAAAAACCTGTACGATCGCCTGCTAACAAATGCTGCTACCTTCTATTTCATTGGTTTTTTTCTTTTAACTGTAATGGATGACATTCTTAAATGCTCAGAAAGCTCTGTGATGTTTCTTTTAAGACCTGCTGCAAAACTAAAGTCAGGACAGTGCTTCCTAGATGACAAATTTGTACAGAAGAGTTAGCTCCAGAAGTAAAAATTCTGAAATCAGAGGCCTTTTCAAAAGTGTAAGTCCGCTTTTCTCACAAAGTGAAACCCTTCCCAAAGCACAAAAGAACTTTCACAGAAGTAAATTCTCATCTGTACTTCATTTAATAGCTTAATTTATTAAACACATTATGTAAAATCTACATTGTTTCAGTTTTCATGTTTACACAGAGAAGGATTTTTTCATTTTCAACCATGATGCAACAAGAGCTTCACATAGCCTGCCTTCCTATGGGAGATGATACAAACATTAAACACTACAAGAATTTCTGGCTCATTTAACTCTCTTTTCATTGCCTTCCCTTTATTTCTCTCTAGGCCTGGCACAAACAAACAGGCTTGTATTCTGAAAGTAATTTTAAAATGGTTCCAAGGGGAAGTCTGCTGATAGAAACTCTTGGAAACAGGGAGAACTCCTAGAGAGGTCTACAGTTCTTCATTTGACAAGAAGTTCTTACATGAAAGGTCAATCTTTTTTTGGATATTGACTTGCAAAAATAACTTGAGTGCCACCACCTAAAAAGTGCTGATATACATGGCGTCATTTATGGGAATTCAAGGTACTTGTGGGATTTCTATTAGCACTAGGTAGAGGTATTGTGCAAAATCCTCAAATGATGCAATTTCACCCCACTTTTCAGCTGCTGGCACTGTACAAAGGGAAAAATAGGAATTAGCTACTTTTTTTTCAAAGCAACAGAGCTACTCAAACTACCTGCAAACTACAGTTAATGTACATGTAAGTTTCTCATGCATCAAAAGTCAAATTTTAACAGTATATGAAAGGCAAATATGTATATATCTAGCTAATATCCCCAAAGTTTGACAGTTATTCTATTTATATGCAGAGGTCAGATCGTACCTTTACTCTGACAGCATTATCACACCATACAACATACTGTATATCTGCATAATCCTAAGATACAAATTTCCTCAGTACTCAAACATTATCCTTTATTATACATCAACTAATTTATATTTTTGCATTTTTGTTCTGTTGTGGTTTTTTTTTATTATTACAGAGAAAAATGTTAGAATTATATAGCCATTCTTTATGGTATTCAAATAAATCTAGATTCCAGATTTTTACAAGGAGGATGGAATGTCCAGCTATTTGTCCACTCTAGCAGCTCTTGCAGTTGCTGTTCAAATGATTGGCACATCCTGTGAAATGAGACTAGTCACCAAAAAAAGTCTTAAAACACATTAAAAATGTACACACACTTTCAGAAGTAACTTATATTGACAATTAAGGAATGTTGTTTTTTAAGGCTGTGCTTCAGAAGGAGGATGCTTTAGGGTTAAGTAGCCTTCATCAAGGCACAGAATGGGAAGAGGTAAGCACAGCTGTTTGTAGAAGAGAAGTTATGTACAACCACTAGTGAGGTGTGCATGCACGCAAACACAATTTAAAACTGCACAGCTGGTCTTTGTAACAAAACTGAACATAGTCAAGAGGAAACACTGTGACTTTTTAATGGCCACAGTTGTACTTCATTATTAAAAACATGGCAAATACTTCCAAACATAAAATTCACAATTTGAATAAATGAAATATTTTAAACAAAGTGCTTCACAGATCTGAACCCTGCATGGTTGTGCTGTCTGGTCTAGAAGCATTTTGTAGACATCATAGGAGCATTTCACACAAAACTGAAAATGTCATTCAATTGAATGAGAAACAGGACATCTCCACAGACATTTCTAACGTTTTTACACTTTCAAGTAGTTGAGTTCTTACGGCCACTGGGTTTTGTAACAAATGTGTGCTACAGCAGTACGGGTTTGTGGATTCCTTTAGCAGCAAAGGCCCGTTTCAAAGGGCACGTGGTCTTTTCGGGTTGATCTGTTTACTGGCCTGTTCCTCCTCTTGTAGAGCTGCTCGGAAAGATTTCACTTTATCTTTAACAAAAAAGAGAGAATGAGTTATGATGTGCCTGTGCTCAACACAGATGTTGAAACTAAGCCCTCATGCTCCACATCCCAGCAATAATGCACAACAAAGAACATTCCTCCACAAAAATAGCTGATGCTACAAACTACAAGAGGATTCAGATAAGCTTAAATTCAATACTCACCATGTTTAGCAACTTAGTCCCTTCTTAGATGCTACCCCTGTGTCTAGGCAGGATAGGTTTGGAAACTGCACAATTGCACTCCCAGCGTGTAACCTGTTCACACTTAAATTCTGCTTCTAACTTACAGAATATAGGAAGATACACATCACAAACATCTTTTTCCTTCCCAGCACCTTTCCAACCATTCTTAGAGGCATAGGAAATAGTATTTAGTGTACAATCAGTCACTCCTGTAAACTCTAAAATTCATACTCCCCCTCTGTTTTTCTATGAATTTTCTTTTTCCTTCCTTTATTGTTTTGGAATAGAGGAAAAGAAAAGGAAAGTTGCAGGATCGAGTTTATACTTCCTGGAGGTAAAGCAGAGATTTTTCCTTTCAACTAGGATGAACTGAGCACAGATGTGAACTTGTTCTTAGGCTGCAGAATAAATGTTTCTTGTACAGGACATTACAGGGCAGCATAAGGGGAAAAAGACCCTAAAAGATAAACACACTCTTTTTTCTTCTCCTCATTATTACTGCAAGTCTCCATAGGCATATGAAAACACACCGCTAATAATGCACACAAAAGTGATTAAAAGCAATCTACCTCGAAGTTCGGTCAGAATATCAATTTTTTGCTCTAGAATTGCTTCAAGTTGGGTAGCGTAAGAATCCACATCATAGTCTACTTCTTCTGTCATCTCAAGAAGAGCTTTTTCATCTTCCAGCCATCTAATAGATTCCTAAATGAAAGTTAAATAAAAAAAAGAAATACATCAGCAAAGTTTCAAGATAAGTTTCAAGACGAAGAGCTGAGTTAGACCTTTTCTTACCTCAGTACATATTTAAATCCTAAAATGAAACCTCATTCGTAATCGAGCAAAATTGAAACTTTACTCCTAATTCAGCGAAACTGAATGTTTTCTACATTGTTTCTTAATTCCAGTTACATACCAGCAACAGCTAACCTCCAGCTACCCCAGTTCTCTTCAAATTCAGAATATTACATGGCTGGAAAGGTAAGAAACTCAGAGAAGAGAACTTTATGTCATGGTTATGTCCCCTTAGGCAGGTATCAAACTTTGAAGTCAGGCTTCAATTTAAAGTATGGGCTGGTTGCCCCTGACTATAATCATAGTGTAATTACTGCAGTCAAGGGGCCAAGATAATTCTGTCCATAATCAAAACCAGTTTTGAGAGAAGCTATACAAAAGAAGAGCTATTTTAAGCCTACTATTGCATGAGCTAACTCCCCAGATAGAGAAAAGTAAAGGTTGGTTAAAGCAGATCTTAGCCATCTTTGCACTCCAAGTATTAGAAACAAAGAGAGGAAAAAAAAAAAAAGTCTTGCAGCAAAGAAGAATGCAACCAGGAGCTTAAAGCTTAAAAAATCATGCAAAGCTGTGATCAGGAGAACAGATCCTACTGGAAATGCTTTGATTTAAAAAAAGAAAACAGCTGACAGTTCCAGGCATGCTTGGCCTGAAATTAAGTCTTTCCCTCTGTGCTTGGCAGCCCAAGTAATACTGAAAGCATAGTCCAAACCCCATGTATGTTTTTTGGCTTTCAGGACAGACAGAGCTCACATCTGTAGGATTCATCTTATCTAATGTAAACTTGTACATCCAAGACACAAAGGAAGATAAATACCTCTAAAACACGATTAATTCCATTGATCTATTTTAGACATTTTTGTTAGAAAGGATGCTTTGTATCAGCCGCTTCCAGAAGATAGCTGACAGAAGATAACTTCTGCCTGGTACAGCTGGTAGATTCTGTATTGGTGCAGCCTACCTCCACCCACAGCACAAACTAACAAGCCATGCTGCAAATGAAGGGAGCTAAGCCTCAGACACATTTCTTTCCAGTGACTGCTGGGAGGAGCAGTAATCTCCAGCAGAAGGCCAGATGGACACACAGAAGCATCTCAACATCTTAAACAAATGCAGCTTGTCCTTCAGAAGTTGCAAGCATGAGGACGCAGATATGGCATATGGCATATGACTTTCCCACTTTTGCATGTTTTGCTTAATGTTTCATAACTAAAACTCTACATCTGTTGTAAAATGTTTTATTTAGCATCATACTGTATTATGAACACACATCAATGTTCCGCTAAGTTAGATACCTAAACTGAAGAGGTGTACTCCCCAAAGGTTTAATGCTCTGTTCTCTTGCAGCAGACATGCCAAACGGACAGCATGCCTTAAGACTCTAAGGTTATGAACAGAAGCAACTCACATTTCCTTGGGAAAACTAGTAACTGATAGTTATTACTACAGTTTATTTTGTGAACATAAAAGGCTCCGTGGTGCTGACCAGCGTTATGCTGCATGGGCAGTATTCCTTCCAAAGACCCTGACCAATAGCAAGTGAAAACTTTTATGAATCTCTGAAAAGAAGGCAAACAGGCAGTTAGCAATATATGTCACTCTTCTGGATCTCAGTATCTCAGAGCACAATGTCACAACAGGATACTCAGTTGAGATACTTTGAAGGAGTATTGCAGTATCTTGGAGGGAGATGACCAAATAGAAATGGTGCTGATGGAGACATTACTATTAATGGGCAGTTCTGGCACAGGAATATTGGCATAGATTAGAGAGTGAAATGGAAAATTTCAAGACAAATCTGAATAAACTCCCTGCAACTAGAAAAAAAACCACAGTCAGTAGTGCTGGAAAAGGACTACAACAGAAAATATAGTGAATAGTAAGAACAGTAAAAAGAAAACAGCAACTGTTCTTATGATGAACACGGTCTATTTAGGAATGTCTGCTGAGAAGAAAAGGAAAATTTTACTAAGTTTCTGGGATGATACGGAAATATGCTTCTCTTTCATCATGGGACAAAGCCTAGTGGTTATGGGATCTGTCCCTGTGTGTTTGCTACAATGGGCTTAGCATAACAAAAAAATCTACAAATCTGACAGCAGCAGAATGACCAGATGATATTCTACATCTTCAAGCATAGGCACTTCCATTGGGAAAACCTGAATTCCTGGATTACAATAAAACAAAGGAGAGGTCCATCTTTTACCTGGAAGACAGCCCTGTGGTCTTCTACTACTTGCTCTTCCATTTCTACCATTTGTGACACAGCTTCATGAAAAGTAAACAACTGAGGAGAAACTTCCTCTTCCTAAAAACAACAGTTAACCTTGTTAGTCTGGAATGGACTGTTTACAGGAAACATATTGAATGCGATCCATCTCATCACAGAACACAAAAAGAAATACGCAGATGGCAGAACCTGTCAAAAACAGAATTCAATACTTCTAACAAGAAAATCTCCAGAAATGAGTGGAGATGGCAATAAATTCAAAGTGTTCAAAGAGCTAAACTTAATTCATATTCACAAAAAATTTCAAGCCACTAATCCTAGTGAATACCAGACAACAGAATATTCCATATTAAAAAAAAAAAAAGTTAAAAGTGGGAAGAGGAAGTCACAAAGGAAGAATGCTAATTTCTAGTCGATTTTAATGCCTATAGAAAACTCTGGCTTTCTGTCAGGAGTTTTTATTGTGCATATCACAATAGACAGACAATTTTCAAATAAGAGAACAGTAATTGCAGTCAATACATTTCAGGAAATCAAAATTAAATTAATCCTTTGGAAAAAGCTGGAATAAATGTAAAGTGAGAAATCTAAAATGTACACAGCGATTAGTACATTAGAAGAATGCACGACATGAATTTACGAACGGGAAACAGGGCTTCTTTAGAAATGGATAGTTAAAAAATCAAAGGGGAAAGTGCTAGGTAGACTGTAATTAATGATTTAGCAAGACAGTATAGTTCCTTACACAATGCCTTTGAAATATTTTTTAAAACGTAATGTAAAGCTTGATTTAACTCCACATGGAACAATGAAAAAGTAGTACATTGTCGTGGCTTAAACCAGCTGATGGCCAAACACCACGCAGCCGCTTGCTCACCCTCCCTCATCCCAGGGGATGTGGGGGAGAATTGGAGCGGTAACAATAAAGAGACTCATGGGTTGAGATAAGAACAATTTAATAACTGAAATAAAATAGGATAAAAAAATAATAATAACTGTAATAGAATATACAAATGATTGATACACAGTACAACTGCTCACCACCCACTGACCAAGGCCCTGCCTCTTCCCAGCTAGCGATCCCAGAGGAGAGAGAAATCCCAAAATTGCTATAATACTGTAAACTACTCACATTTTGTTCACAAAGCAGTTTGAGATCATCTCTCTGGGGAGAGCTTCCCACACCCCACTGTGTCTCCAAGTCGTCGATCTGATTGGGAGTGTGGTGCATAATGGGTCGGATATCTCCCGCAGAACTAGGATCAACTGTCAGCTCCTTCACCCTACGAGGAAAAAATGTTTCATTTTTAAATTAGTAACTGCCTGTGCAAAAGAGTCACAACCAAAAATAAAGTTTTATGGGTTTATGCACAATTAATTCATTTAATAAGGATGATGATGTCATCTTCACAAATTTAATGTGCTTTCAGTGACAAAATTATTAGTCTAACTCCTAAAAAGCATGGACCACTGAATTTCAACTACCTGTAGGTGGATTACAATCCATCTTCCAGCCAGAGGCATTTTCTGATTGAACTCTTACTATTCATTAACAGTTGCAGGCAAAAATCTCCAAACCCTCAATATTAACTCCTTAACAATAAGTAGTATTTGAAAGAAAAGTTCATTCAGCACCTTAAACCTGACCATTTTTTCTTTTTCTGTGCACACAATTGTGCTTGAAAAAAAGTTAGCGATGATGAAAATAATAATTTGCAACCAAGTATCTCAGAGAATGAACCAATCCTTTAATTAACATAAAAGTGAGAATATCTTATTAAAATGTTAGGCTCTTGCAGCATGAAAATAGGTTAAAAGATTGATAATGTTTCTGTAAAAAAAAAAAAAAAAGTCCATTTAAAAGCAAGTTTATGAAACAGACACATCAAAGTCTCCAAACATAGCAAGTTTCAGAACATATTCATTTTTTTTAAAGGGAAAAAAATTTTTTTCAAGTAGCACATATTTACTACAATGTAAACTTTTTTTCATTCCTCTTCAGACTGATGAAAAGTTTTTAAAATACAGATGTATGAAAATCGTTTTAATTAGAGATATTCAAATTACCCTAAACACAGACTTGTCAGATTTGTTCCACTAAATGTACAAAGGTGACATCACCATTTTTTAAAAAATGTATGAAGGAAACTAGGAAGCCTGGATACAGACTGTGGATGTTTAAGGAGGGTGAACAAAATACTGGGAAGATGATTGCAGATCATGCAGAACCATCACCTGCCAAACAAAATAAAACAAAGTATGTGCGACTCAAGGCAAAGGGGACTAATGAAAGGTTGGTCTGTAAAATTACATAGCCAAAAAGAAAACTTAAAAATAAAGATTCCATGTATAGAATGAAGTAGACCTGGTGATTGAAGGAGAAAAGTCGTCATACTCATAGGAAGGAGAGAGATCAGAGCGACTGCCACTACCCTGTGAGAAGGGAATGTCCGAAGGACTAATTCCAAATTCCTTTACTCTGCAGCAGCAAAATACAGCAGCGAATTAAAAGAAAATGTTCTCATAAACACAGTTAAAATGACAACTCTTTGTTTAGCATACTTCTTTACTAGTTTAACTATAAAATTATTTTTATATTAAAACACAAATGTGCCAACATATTTAAACCTTCTGCAAAAAGAGTTACAGATTACTAACAAAACTGAACAAAAACAAAAAAACAGTGCTGCTAATTTTCAGGGGACTGTAATAGCAGTGTTTTCAGAAGAGTAATTCCAGATTTCAGTTCATGCAGTTGATAAAATTTGTTCTACATTCAATATTCCACTAACTGTCTCCTTTTAAAATATCAAAGCATCACAGCTACAAAACCTTAAATTCTATTCTGCCTCCATCTTACACTGCACACACACTGGTGTCCAGCACCTAAAAACTAATTGTACTATGAAAATTACATATTGCTAGAAAAAAACTAAAATACTACACAAAACACATGAAGCAACTTCACAGTGACAGGCATTTACTCCATATCAACACACAAATTTAACACCAAGTAGAAGAAAAAGTTTCAGGGCAACTATTTAGTATATTAGAAATAGGTGTTTATTTAATTTTGCAGTGTGTTTTTCTGGAGTAACTTCAGCAACACATATTCTACAAGGGGTAAAAGACGCAACAAGTCTTGATGAATGTGCAAAGTCCTTTGTTATGTTACTGTAAGCACAGGAGTACATCTCTCCTTGTCAACAGGAAGGAAATCACAGAGACCGGTCCAAGACAGGCAGATTTTCTACTGGCACTCTTGATTCAGACACAGAGATTCATTCAGCTATCTAGAGGAGTGGGTAATAAGCTTTCCTAGCAGCCCTTTGTGCCTGATCAGTGACTGGCTGGGGCACCCAGGCAAGCAGAAGCAGACATGGTTCTGCCCTGTCTTCCACTGGGGGAAGGAGGACACTGGATGGTAGCCTCTTCTGGCAAAAGCAGGGCTTCCAATGGCCCAGAGGCATTTGCCTGGTTTGTTCTTTTCACCAAAGCTTGGGGCGGGGGGGAGGTGTCTCTGGGTTGCAGGTCTGTCTGCAAGGACATGCAGGACCTGATCACCCCATCTCCACACACATTAAATGAAGAACTGCAGCAGGGGAAGGCTTCTTTCACACTCACTGAAGAGAGACAAACACATTCAGAAAGCACTACAGGTCTCAGAGGTGCTGCATCAGCCTCTGGAGGTGGTAATTTCTCTATGCTGATTATAAAGTTGCTGTTGGATTAACTGACTCTTTCCTTAGGGGTGTCAGATATTTGCCTGGCATTGGGAAGTATAAAATTTCATATATGTATATCAAACAGACTGGCAACTGCATGCAATCCCTCCACAGGGATGAAAAAAAAGAAACCATCACACTGCAGAAAGGTATTTCAGCTAACACCCCAGGGAATCATCATGAATACCAACTACCCCTAATGCTAGGGGTGGTGCCTCCAGAGCAGGGGCAAAACTAATAGCGGCAACTCCCACATTCCTTGCAATCCACATTATCTATCTCTGGATAATGGCTTAAATGCAGTTTCTATCGATTCTATTGTAATGGTTGTCAACAGTAACAATTTAAACTAAATGTGGAGCCTGGATCAGTAATTTGTTTTTAATCTTATTAAGAAATGCAAGTATGATAACATTATTCAATTAGCTTAAAATAATTATACATCATGGAACAATGCTGTTCCAAATGTAAGTGATCAACAGCTGGTATAGCTATAAACAATAACATTTTCCATACCTATTTGCGTATCTCAATGTATTTAGAGTGTTTTCACATGATGCCATCCCCGGAGAAATTGTAGCAATCTGGAGAAAACAAGCCACGTGTTAATAAATTACTCTGTATAGACAGGGTAGATGAATTCAAATTAACTTTATTTTTTTTAATCTCCAGTTTCACTTGGGTTCTACAAAAACTGTCTACTCTGTACAGCTGTCCTTATACAGTGACATCTCCAGGAGACAGATGTCAAGTCAAAGCTTCAATTTCATTTTTTTAACTATACCTGCAACATTAAGAATTCATAGAAGTTCAGTCAATTTCCTCCATCTCACTGTCTAGGTAACAAAATATGTAAATGCAAAACTCTAACTGAAAAAATAAAGACTCCGCAAAAGCGAATATGCAACTCAGTAGAAAGTAAGTCTACTGCACTCTGCAAAAAATTACCAGGTTATATTTTTTATATATCTCTGTAGACTGTTCTCCATTCAAGCAGACTGCATACCGATTTGAGAAATCTATTTTGGCCAATGTCCAAAACTGTACATAATAAAATTAAGGATAAGCATGTGTTTAACTATTTTCCCAAGTAAATAATTTTTTTTTCAATTGGAAGTTATCTGTAAACAATACTTGATAGCTAACTTACTGTCAGACGTATCAGGAACTTCAAGGTCTTTCCTTTTCCAGTTAAATAAAATACCCTGAAGATTTCACAATCCTTCCACCACTTAGCAAAAATAGTAGCTGTGAGCAGGCGAAAGTGCTGTCCTGGTTTCATCTGGGCTACAGCTAATTCTCCTTTTAGTAGCTAGAATAGCACTGTGTTTTTGATTCAGCACAGGATTTAGTATAAGAAGAACGTTAGCAATATACTGATGTTTTCAGTCTTTTCTAACTAATGAAGGACTTTTCAACTTCTCATGTTTTGCTAGTGTGCAGGTACAGAAGAAGCAACAGATACAAACTGACAAATAGGATATTCCATATAATGGAAAAACACCATCTTAAAAGAGCTCCTACATGTTCAACAAATAATATTTTCCAACAGAATAATATTTCTTCTATGTTGCAAGTTCACTTATTTATTTTGCCTGTAACAGGCTAAAATATTTCGGAGGAAATACTATCATGATCTACATGTTGCCTTATTACAGTTATAACTAAAAAGTTCTTCTATGCTTTAATTTATTTCACATAAACTAGACACTTCTAGAGAACACAGCAATGATCTATGCAGTCAATTGTAAGAACCTGAAAGGAAACTACTCATTATTAAACTATTTTTGCAATAATTTTTAGAAGTTTGAAGCACCACCATTAATTACATGGCTCTGCTGCAAACTAGCACTCAACTTTAGCTGTCATAAACCATAATGGCTTGCCCTTTTCTTTCTGTGAATTTCATCAGTAATATTTTGCCAGTGTATGATATAAAACTGACACAGGAACGTGCCTACAAACCAGGCACATCCTGCCAAGGAGCCAACAGTAAATACCACACTGGCTTGATACAAGAGGCAAAGGAAGACACAGAAGAGGGGTGAAGCTTCTGATCATTATCCACTATTCCCACCTCTTGGCCACTGGAGCGCAAATATCCTCTCCTGTTTCCAGGGAACTGGAGAGGACTGGAGGTAATTCCAGGCTAAGGTATCTCCTACACCTCCCTCAATTACGTCCTCTGCCAGAAACCTGCCAGATCTCTAGACAGGCAGCTTTATTCTGCATCTATCTAGTTATCACAGGAACAAGCGCTACAAATGTAAGAGCTCAATTCAAACAAAAGTAAAAATGCCTTGTAGGTTTTCCCTACTTCAATTATAATTCACAGTAAGCCACAACCACCCAAGTTTTCTTCTTCCCATATCAGTATCGTAAGAAAAAAACTTTTATGATTAAATTATTGATAAAAATAAAATGTAAACAAATACTAAAACCAGAATGTCACAAGTGGTCCTAGTACTGAGAAACTTCATGAAAAAGTAACAGAAGAATGAGTTTGATAGCAGTCTCTCATCATGAAAAGGGTCTTCTTATCCTTAATTGTAAAGTGATTATAGTTATGTGAATGAGAAAATTAAAAAAAAAATTAAAGCATATTTCCACTCACTTTCAGAGGGGACTTTCTTCCTTAATTTAGAACTATATTGAATAAAGGAATGTAAGCTTTATCAGAAATCAAATACTCATAGATCATGGATTATTCCTGATAGCATTCTCACAAATTTAAATGGTAAAAAATGTTACAACAACTCTATGAGAAGAGTAATAACTAAATAAAATAGCTTCACCAAAATAAAGACAGCTTGTTAGCACTTTAAGGAGGTAACGGTGATGGCGAGAACTTCATAAAATATTCACAAATGTTTATTATTCTGTATAGAGAGTAATTTTCAACAGGCTACCTTTCCAAACTTTCAGAAGTGTGGACACACTAGCTAGAGATGCATTATTTAGCTTTCTGATCCTGCATAGTATTTATGGAGTTATAGATTCATAGAATGGCAGTGAGCAGCGACATCTTCAACTAGATCACGTATGTCTCAGTGGGAAAGAAAATAATCCTGTCTTTTCATCAGAAAACTGAAGGAGGAAAAAAGATTAATAAAAAACCCTATTTTACCACAATTCTCAAATTAGAACCATACCTAATAGCTAAAGGAAAGACTAGGCTGCCCTAACACCATGGTTTTCATGTTGTGGTCTGCAGACTTCTCTTCCCTCTAGACTAATTATTTCCAAGGAGTCTGTGAAAAGTGAAGAACACAAGCAAGCCCAGCAATCGGTGTCCACTGCAGAGAGTTTGCATTTCCTTAAGGAGAAATGTTAAGGATGCACAAATAAAATGACGGGACACCAGTGCTTTTAGCTGTCCTTTCCACCATCTGACAAAAGAATTCTGTTTTTCAGATTGATGCAAGTGGACATTTATACAATACACAACTGTTATCCTATCTATCCCAGCTACTTCCCCCCTCAACAGGCTAGAGCATATTCTGATGCCTTTGAACCAACTTTAAATTTGCATTTGTCATTTAAAGATGATAACTCACCACTGTACTTGCAGTTCTCACCAACTTTTCCAAAAATTCTGAGTCAACAAACAATACTTATATAATTAAGACATTATTAAAAATAGACAAACAAACTCCTTAAGCTAGAAGGAGTTAGCTGCCTACCTAGAAAACTAGAACAAGTTATAAGAAAAGCCAATAAAAAATGAGAAGGGAGCAAGTTATCTGAAATGTCTCTGCTGAAAGTCTCACTCCACATATAGTGTCAGCTAGTGGATAAACTTAAGTCCAAGAGATCAGCAGTAGGAAGTGACCAATTTTAAACATAAAAGCCTAAATTCCCAGCATCTTTTCTCTTTGTAACTGTTGGAACAAACAATTAACCAAATCCACTTACCATACAGGTACGGGAGTTTTCTCCTATGAATGAATCTCGTAGCACCTGAGTAAGTTTACTTGCTCTGAAGGGTGTATGAGGTTTATTTCGGCCTAAGGCTCTAATGCACTCCTGAAAGAACAAACAGGTGTATGCATTTGTCTTTAACACAAGTTGAACAAATATAATACAAATGCAACTCAAAATTAGAAAATACATGCCTTAGTTATGTCACTGTCCCGTAAAATGTTGTTAAAGATTACCATTAAAGCTTGAATTCAAGAAGTGCTAGGCTTTACACTTCTCATTCAGTTCACAAAAAAATCAGTGTTGATCTTAAATATCCAAACTATCAATTATTTCTGAATTATCAGCTGCAAAAGCCTGAATGATCTATAACCTCTGCCAGCAGAAGCAGCATGGACAGGGACAGGTTTTAACTCTTATCAATTAAAAGCAGTAGCTTTGATTCTGGCTCTGCCATTGACCTTCTTTATGGCTCAGAAGAAAATAAACTTTCTGAAAGCTTCCACAGGCCATGAACCTAGTAAGAATAGCTCTCTATTGATGTACTCAAAATTGGAAGACAGTTGAAAACACAAGTCATTCCCTGTTTCAAAACATTCTTAATGTGAAAAAACACAGATAAGGTCTCCTCTTTCACTCACAAGGGTGTGGGGCTAAAGTAATATTTGCAATTCCTTGGAGAGTTCCAGTGAGAAATACTGTACAGTTGTAAAAATTATTAAATTACTGTAAAACTTACAGCAGCAACTAAGCACAACAGTGCAAACCAAGATCACGCTAATCTAAAAACTACTTCTGCCCACTCAGAGCTCTAACATCAGCTAGTAAATTACTTCTTACACAAAGAAATACAAATTTTAATTTCCGTGGTGGTGGTGTTGTCATCATATTTTGATCATTAATCCCAGTTTCTGCCTCTGCTTTAATACTTTGTGTACAGGCATCTCTTCAGATGCATTGTTACAGTTTTAACATGTCTACACACAGAACCTCTTCAAACAACCATACATCAAATATTTCTCAAATTAGAGTTTTGCTTTTAGTAGCACTATCACAAGCAATGGTTCTACAGCAGTTCAGCTAACCCTCCCACTGCAGCCATATCCTTGTGGCCTTTTGAAATTTCCTAGAAACAGCTTCTTCCAAAAGCCATACTAGAAACTGTGGGATGATAATCCAAGAAAGCATTGCGACTGTGAAACAGCATAAAACAGAACTAAAAATGGGCTCAGAATTAAATTGCCATGATACAGAACAGAACAACACAAGGGCAAGTTGGTTTTAACTGAAGTGATTACTTAAAAAACTCACCAGCTGAATTTTATAGAATGGACACAGCCCAGATAAACAGAAAGACTGAAGCCTGTTGAATGTGAATTTCATGCAAATGTTAAAAAGGACTCAATACTTATAGCTGAGCAAGGAAGTGCATTCCTTGATTTTTTTTTTAATTTCTACATTAACACTATACTGACATAACGAGAAATGCAGACTAGAGAGGAAGAAGGCCAACAGCTTTTTAACAAGTGATATTACAAACTAAAAACAGTAACAAGTGTGTATGCTGAATTACTGATATGGCAACCAACATGTTTAATTAAGGTATTTTAATTTACTATAACGATTTTTAGTAAAAAAATTCAAGTTACATTCTCTCCTTATTTGTAAAAGGATTGTAGGAGGACACTGCCAGCTTCTAACTTAATGGAGTTTTTAACTACTTTTACTTTTCACCACAGCTCAGAAAACCAGGTAACAAACGACAACACTACTTCCACGTAGAGGGTTTACAGAAATAACTTCCTGTACCAAAGATCTGAACAGATTAAGATAGGCCTGACATCCAAATGAAAATAGCAAATCTTGGATTAGCACCAAAAATCACTCCTCAGAACATACTAGTTTAAGTCAAACTTAACAATAACTTTAAGGGTCCTGAATACAAATGGGAAAAGCTGTATGTTTTCGGGGACAGATTAAAATGGAGAACTAACGTATCATTCAGAAACTTGTATCTTCTTGTAACACTGTTCAGACCTCTGCAAGACCTCCACTTATTTTTATGTCCCCTTTCCCATATAATTTAGATCACAACCACTAGTATGGCAGCAGCAGAACCTTTCCGTATAATTAAAAAGACACGTATGAAAATGAACTAAGTATGTTGTATGGGTATTGCACTGAAGGCACTAGCCAGAAAAAAGTCAACAAGTAAACTGGAAAACAAAACCAAAACAAGCCAGCTTTATTCAATTACATTTGGAAACAAGTGGTAACATGTGCTGGTTTTGTCTGGGACGGAGTTAATTTTCTTCACAGTAGCTACTATGGAGCTATGTCTTGGATTTGTGCTGGCAATGGTGTTGATAACACAAGGATGTTTTCGTTCTTGCTGAGCAGTGCTTACAGGAGTCAAGGCCTTTTCTGCTCCTCACACCACCCCACCAGCGAGTGGGCTGGGGGTGCACAAGAAGCTGCGAGGGGACACAGCTGGGACAGCTGACCCCAGCTGACCAAAGGGATATTCCATACCATATTATGTCGTGCTCAGCACACAAAGCTGGGGGAAAAAGAAGGAAGTGGGGGATCGTCAGAGAGATGGTGTTTGTCTTCCCAAGTAACCGTTACATGTGATGGAGCCCTGCTTTCCTGGAGATGGCTGAACACCTGCCTGCTGATGGGAAGCAGTGGATGAATTCCTAGTTTTGCTTTGCTTGCATGCGTGGCTTTTGTGTTACCTATTAAACGGTCTTTATCTCAACCCATGAGTTTTTTCACTTTTACTCTTCCAATTCTTTCCCCAATCCCAACCAGGGAAAATGAGGGAGCAGCTGTGTGGGGCTTATGCTGGCTGGAGTTAAACTATGACATAACGTCAACACAATGTTGCTTGCATTATTTACTTTGATGCTACATCAAAACAGGCCACAGTTTTGGAACTGCTGCTTCAAATTTTTCAGCATGCCATGCAATTTTGTAATGACACATTAATTTTGTGGTGTTTTGTGAGATGTGCTTAGAGTCAGATACAAGTCTTTTCCCAGGTTTATACTGGGGATAAAAATGTAAACACAGTAGTCTTGAGGTTCGGGTTCTTTATATAAAATCACAGTGCTGCTGCTGAGAGTAGTAAACCTTAACAAAACTAACCAACAACAGAGATAAGTTCTGAGACATTCAAAACTACTGTCTCCCCAGTTAAGACCAAAAAATCACTTTCCCTATTTAGACTGAATCTCTTCTAAGCATTATCAAACAAACAAAAAGGCATATGAATATTTAAATAAGATTTCTTAGCTCTCTTCACGTGTCCTGAATTAATGTGTGAAAAATCTGTAAAGTTACTGTATCAAACAATTTGCTATAAAGAAGAGCAGTCAAAAATGGATTCCAACTTTCAAGGGTTATTCTAATCTATTTTTTAGTTCTTTCGGTATATACTGCTATTGTGTTGCTTTAGTGAATTAATTAACAGCAGTAAATCAATATGCCATAAAGGTAACTTTATTTTTTATTAAGAAAAAAAGAAATAAATACTGTTCTGAGTAAGAATCTTTCCAGTTAGTATTTCAGACCTTGAGTACTAAAGTACGTCATCTGTTTTCCCATTTTAGATATATATGAGAAAAGTTTTCAAATTCAACCACCGGGGACTTTTTGTTGAGTTGTTGGGGTTTTTTTTTAACTTACATGCAAGTTGATAGCACAATATTTCTGCAATGTTTCTAGCTGGTGATTACCAAGTGTTCCTTCAGGCATTTAGAGGAAAAATCAATATGTTATTTTACCTGTCACATCAGTAGACAACACAGACAAGCAAAGCTTGCAAAAACACTTGTTTTAATTGTCATTTCTATTATATGTAGAAGGCTTCCACCTCCTCAAAGACAATGGAAACATTTCAGTTACCTTGAGTGCTAAAAGGCTCTTGTTAATTTCTGCACCTTCCAGTCGCGTCTGCCTATCTGCACTGGAAGTATCTGCTCCTCTTTCATTGCCAGCCAAATCAATCAGAGAAAATTTACCATGCAATTTCCCTTTCCTTCTGAGAATAATCTGAAACACTGCATGGCTTCGAGATGAGTGTGCATTTGCAGATGTCTGGCCAGATGTCCTTTAAACAAAAGGAGAGAAAGGAAGGACATATGAACAGGTGAAGGACCATACATGTTAAACACACTAACCTCAGCACGTTCATTTTTTTAGGGCAGAGTCCTGTATTTTCTTACATGTGTTGACAGTATCTCTAATGTTCTGGTGGACACTAGAGATACAGCCCTAATAACTGGATGTACATAGTACGGTTATACCTCTTTTTCCACCTCTTCAAACAGAAACGGAAGATTACTAATATTTTACCTCTTTTAAAAGCAAGAATAATCAGATCTTCAAAGATTTCAGATTATCAGAGAGCTTATATGTAAAATGCTGATGGCATTTTTATCTGATCAGGCAGCAGCCTATGCACAAGGCTAATTTTAAAAACAATGAAGCTAGATTCTTTAAAAAAATAAAAATTTAGTGCTTAACCTCTGTCACTACATATCAAGGCCGTTTAGAGCTAAGAATCTGGCAGTATTCCAGATTATAAATGATGTGAATTTAAGTCAGTAAACTGCTTACATAATGCATGCAGTTCACATCCTGCAGAAAAATCAGTTATTTCTCTCTAGGAGACAGAGAAACTCTAAATATTTTTATTTAAAAGGTAGGCAGATCCCTTACTTGCAGCCAACATCATCAAAAAACCCACTGCATATTAAAAAGTCATCACTATGAAGAGTCCTCCAAAAAATCTTGTTCTGATTCTTTAATGTACAATGAAAAACTGGTGTAAGCTATGGGAGATACCTGCAGCTGTTGCCTATTTCAATAAGCTTAAGAACATCTTCAACACATTTGACTTCCCGTTCCTGTAATCCCACCACCTGGACTTGCTGTTTACCATCTTCTAACACTCTTAATTTTGTCTTCCTGTTCAACAAGTCAAAAACCTTAGGGAGAGAGGGAAAACAGAACAGTTAAAGAGGAGCTTTAAAACACACTTTTGTTTCAAATCCTATAACAAAATATGCAAAGCATTCCATGGAAAAATGTGAATGGAAGTGTAAAGAATTATTTGAAATAAAGCTTTTAGTACAAAGATGAAAAAAATATATGGGACAAGCTCAAAATCTTGTGCGTGAAAGAGAAATTCTCCCTCCCTCAGAGAAAGATCAGCTACTTACCTTACCACTGTAGATCTCAAAAAATGTTGCATATACTTGAAGTTCTAACTTCTTATAGTTTGGTTTCTTTAGCATTAAAAAGACATCTCGAGCTGTGAATACATTTCCAGAATAAAAAGAAATCTCGTTATGTATTTTAATTTAGTGAAGACTTGTTAATGCATTGTCTATTTTACAGCATGTCTTATGTTTTGCAAGTAGAACAGATAGGGTGAGTCAACCAAGTCTAAAATATTGCAGTTTAAACTGCAACATTACATCGACAGATGCAGAAGACCCTAAAATTATAAACTTAATTAATCATCCGTTACATTTCTTACATTTTTTTTAAGTAATCCATAAATACATTTACTTTACTGTCTAAACACTACACATCTAGGAACGACTTCTGATGTTACCAAAGCTCCATTGTAATGCAAAATACATAGACCCTTATGTTTGTATGACAGGGAGTACAAAATTTGCTTATCTCAACTAATCTGCAAAAAGCCAACAGACCAATCAAGTCTCACCTGCAAGTGCATATATTCCTTTAGAACAATCTTGGTTCTTTCCTGAAAAGTCACCACCCATAGTCTAAATTTACAAAAAAAA